ATTTCTGTAGGAGATATAGGTACTTATATATATATGTATATATATATAACATTGTCGTATATAGTTGCCCGTTCGAGTTTTAATAATTCCACGAGGTAGACGACAAGAGAGTAGGCTGAAGGATGCAATGCGGTGGGAGGGTAGGGTATGTAGGGACAGACATATCCGGTGTATATCGGGCCGATGCGCTCGCGGCCACGCAATATCCGCACGACTTCCGACCCACTCGAGACTGGATAAATAATTCATCCTTAATTTAATTACACCAGAGACAAATGAAATTCGAAGTCGTATCGAAGCTTGTCGAGACGACGAGAACTTGGATTGGGAAGGAAAAATGGAAGAAGAAGAAGAAGAAGAAGAAGAAGAGGAGGAAGAAGAAGGGGAACGTTTAAAATGATCTTCTAAAAAAGTTTAACAAATTTGAAAATCTGCATTCGGTTGTCGGCTTCCACCATTACCTCCTGTTTCTCATTTCTCAATTGTCTACCAAAGAGAAATCTTTCTCATGATCATTTTATCGTATAAAATCTTTTTAAAGATGCAAATCACAGTCGATACTTTCAAAGTCGAATGCAATATCTGGCAACCTTCCTCTTTATCTACCCCTCAACCTCTCCCCTTTCGTTTCTACAGAGAAGAGCTCAATAAAGGAGTTAATTTCGCTAGTGTTAGACGGCCTTATAACTTTGCCCGGATAAAGATAGGCGCCTTTTAACTCGCGTCCTAGAATCATTATATGAGCTTTCGAGCGTCCGATGAGCGTCGAACTGTCCGGTACCTTGTGGACTCTTTTCTGGAGAAGATTAAAGGAACGTGAAGAGCTCTTTTTACCATTCTCTCTCTTTCTCTTTCTCTCTCTCTTACACATATACACATCTACACACACTCTTCCAGTAAAAAAGAGAGAAAGAGAGGGCGAGGGAGATACTCGGCTTTTTGGTCCAGCGGCAAAGCTACGTCGTAAACCATGTCGCCGGTTTTCATATAGAAAAAAGAGAAAAGTACTGGCAATGGAAGCGAAAGAAAAACGGCAAAGAGAGAGAGAGAGAGAGAGAGAGAGAGAGAGAGAGAAAGGAAGAGTGGAAGAAAGAAAAGAACCGATCGTAATACGTGTGATCGTAATTTTTCGAGACCGCGTACGGCCGCGAATGATTCACTCGAAAAGCCCCCATAGCGACTGACGATCGGCAATCATGATACCCCGCCGTGTGCTCTTGTGCCAGGGGTTAATAACGGCGAGAACGCTTTCAGGGAGCTATATCTCACCCGTACACCTCCTTAAGCGGCATTCACAATATCGAAATAACATCTTCCGGAGTTTATTGCGACTGGAAAGGTCCTCGCGCGTGAACAGTTGAGTGCCGACTCCTGGTGAATCGTCCCACCTTAATTATAAACCCATACGCGAACGTTCCAAATGTGACTCCGTTTAATCGCGATGATCGTAGGTGTTGGAATGAAAGGCAATCAAGATTTGTACCCTTTAATTATGATTCTATTTTTTTTCTCTTTTCTTTTCTTTTCTTTTCTTTTCCAATTTTCCAAGTTTCTCAGGAGTGTTATTCAGGAAGGTGTGATATTCGCAAAAAATTACAAATACATTGTTAAAAGGGAAGAACTTAAGAGGAAAATGGGTAAAAACGGGATAGAGGGAACTCAGAGAAACAGGAGTTTCTATTGACCACCAGGGACTTAATTACGAACAGACATATAGGAGAAGACTGTAGTCGTTCTATGGTCTGCAGAATTACAGTGGAAAGCTATGGAACTCGACTAAAGATAAATTATCCACAAACTCTATTCCCGACGATGGATCGTAATAAATGAGCACCTTTAAATTTACTCTCTACCAAGGAAATACTATGTCCGTGTAAAAACTCTCTCTTCAGGCGTTAAAATATATCCAATAACACACTTTAAACTTTATTGGAGAAGTCTTCAAGTTTCTTAACGTTATATTTACTCAATGTAGATACTTTGATCTAATCAAAGTAAATATTATATAACTCAAACTTTACCTTTATATACCTTACTCGAAAAATAAGTTCTTTTAACACCCTACGAATATTCAAATGATTATATTATATTATAAAAATCTACATTCGACGAAAATCTTGCAATAATATAAATGATCAGATTATCTTGAAAAAATAATGTGCGAATAATTGGTAAAAAATAATTAATGAAAATTAATTAGTGATAACAAAAATAAAGATAGAGCGATAATTCGAAACGACGGAAGAGTGGGGGGAGGGGAGGTTCTTCATTGTGAAAGACATTTTAACGGAGTTTCGGCGAAGCAGAAGAAGAAGAAGAAGAAGAAGAAGAAGGCGCGAGACATTGAATTCGAGCGGTAGGTCGGGCTTTTTCCAAGTAATCGAACGAAGGATTGAGCGAGTGACTGAGTGACTTACAATACTGATAGGATCTCCCTAATGATCGGACACGAAACTCCCACACGCATCCCCTTCATCGTTTCCCCCTCCTCTTATTGCTCTTCTTTCTCTTCCTTCTTGTCCTTTTCTCTTTTTCTTTCTCTCTCACTTGCTTGTCCTTCTGCCAGCATAGCGGCCGACGATCTCAAAACCGAGATCCTTCGAGCCCGGAGAGACGTTATCGGCTCTGGACGTTCTCGAACGCTGATCCTCCTAATTGTTGACACGCCGATCACATGCGAGGCCACGCGCATGCACACGTATAAGCTTATATCCTCTCCTCGTAGTATAAGAATCGTATGTATCCTCTCCTCGCTTGTCTCTCCTTTTTAATCCGTTTAACGGATCGAAAACTTTTGTAAACATTTTTTGCCTACCCCTGAAAAATGAATTGGCTTTTATCATCAGATAAACAACTGTGTCTATACCTGTTCCGTTCGAAAGATACCAAAAACATGTCTATGTATGTTAGCATCCATGCATATATACATTTTATACTTATCTACTACTATGCATATGCGAATCTTCTCTCTCAGCCAAGAAGAGGAATAGATTATTAAAAGGACTGACGACATGACCGATGGACCGTTTCGTAAAACACGAATCGCGACATTTTACCTTTTTCTTTTTCTTTTTCTTTTTTTTTTCTCTCTCTCTCTCTCTCTCTGATTCTCCCTTTATTTTCTTTTTTTCGCTCCTCGTAAATATTATACGTTCGAAGAAGCACCAAAGTCGTTGACGATTCGAAGTGGCTCGTCTCCCTTTGCGACGACAGGAATAAAATGGGAATTGTTAAGGATCTAACGACTCGCGCTCGTTTATTGCTAACAGGTCCCGGATGAACTTCTCTTTTGCGATTATTTCTCGACAATAATCTCTCTCTCTCTTTAAGGAGGATGTCTTTTAAAACGAATACCGGTTCAGTTATGTTTAAATAATTATAATTAGGTGATCCTTGCTTGAATCATGATATTATTACACTGTTATGATCGAGCTCATTTAAAAATGAACGCTCGTAACCAATCGCCTTGAATTTGTTTTTACGAGTACCAGTTTAATTATTGCGAAAAGTGAACGATTTTTTATCAATCTTTTTTTTTGGTCCATCATTATGTATTGTCCTTAATGCGATATACATCGAATGCATAATCCTTATATTATCTTTATGATAGAATAAGAAAAATATCTTTTATTTGATCATGACCTCCCAGAATGCGTTGATAAGTGAGTCGTTAAAGATTGCTCGGATCCAACACAACTAAAACCAGCGTATTCATCGTTGCTAGCTCGTATTCGATGACGCTCGAATTCTCGAGCAACGTATATAGTCCTTCGAACATTGGCTTGAAAAAACATTAAAAAACGTCAAGGTTGAACGTCTTCAAGATTTTACTGAAGTAGTAGGAGTAGGGAATGACGAAGAGCAACAACGTACTTTAGTGTTATAATAAACTACACATTTTCCTTTCGTAATCTCGCGACACGGAATAGCAATCGACGTTGGCACGTTGGCAAACGTTGGTTGGAACGCCGATTAAAAAGCCAATAAAATTTTTTCGTCTTTGAAGCATCGAAAACTCTCCAAGGACGTCGCGTACGGGCACGTTAAACGGATGATACATCTGTGTAAAGTATTTTAATAGCACGCTATATACTGCTCGTTGTAATAGCGAACGACTTGAAGATTAGATGATACTATATTAAACCATACCTATCTTTATGTTCTCAAATGCATGACGTGGTGGATACTTTTACGAAATCGTGACTATTAACAACAAAATTCTTAACCGTTTCAGTCCCAAACAGCACGATGGCAATCTTCAGATTTTGTGTTGAAAAATTCCAGTACATTTTAAGCGCTATGATAAATGAGGGTGCAATCGTTATCGCGATGTTTAAGATTTTTCGATCTTTTTCTTTTAGATGTCTTTGGAACTCAAACGGTTAATGAGATGAGAAAAATACACGAACCGAATGAGACGAAAAATTGATGAACGCATCTTCTCTCTTCTCTTTTTCTCTATATCTTGTTAATGCCTTCGATGCCGATAAAACATGTGATAAGATAATTTCGAAAAAGATATTCCAATTCGTGCCCATCTAATAGAATTTTCATTCAATCAATTCATTTTCCATTAAATCAATCCACGTTTGATATTTTATCATTGAAGGGCTTTACGTAAAATCAAAGTTAATCTGCGCTTCTCTTATATTTATAAATCTATTAAAGAAAAGTGAATGGAAAGTTATGAAAAGGAAAAATATCGTTCGGACGGAGAGTAGAGCGGCGTAATTTTTTGTTACATTGAAAGATAAATATAATAAATACATTGGTAGTTTTTTTTTTAAGAAACTCGATATGATCTTATTACGATGTGGTAGATCAAAAGGAGAAATAAAGAAAGAGAAGACAATTTCTAGATTTCCCGGTCACGTGCTGACGACACGCGTTGTCGTGTCGTTGGACACGTGCGAGCCGTCGACGAAACAACGTCAACGACGACGTCGAGGTTTCCGGCGACCCCTTCGGCACTCGTTGCACCATGATATTTCACTCTTCGTCTTTGTCTACTGTGTTGACAGACTCGACGCGTATAACGATTCCGCCTAAGCGCCACCCGTAGTAATAAGTTTCGATCGTGCGGCGACATTCTACGAAACGGAAATTATTCCACCTTCAGGACACGTTCGAACTAACCACGGTAGGAACCCGTGATAACCTACGAGTAGTAGGGCTTCTATTTTAGATTTCCAATTATTCGCTTCGCTGTTTGGACTGTGATTCTCGATCTAACGATTATTAATGACACGAGATGGACGTAAAATGCAATTTCACGGGGATATCCCAAAATCGAGGTAAAACGATCGAGAGATTCTCGATGTATCATCCGTCGTTACCTTTACTCAACGTGCTTTCAACCTCGATTTCCACGAATTTTATTTTATTCTCTTTTCATCTTTTTTTTCGATAGAGAAATTCCAATTCATCCATCGAGATCGTTCACTGCCTCGTCTACTGTTCCATGTAACAGATAGAACAATTTTAATCGCTTCGAAAAATATCGTTAAATCTCGGCTCAAATCCGAATTCGTATATTTGTAATCGGAAACGCAAAGAGAAGTATCAAAGTACCTACATACATACACATACACGACTGTTCAGAAAAATACATTATTGAGCAACATGCACATACACACACACACAAGCGATCAGCTGATTAAAACGAGTCAAAGTGTCAATATCAGACTGATCACTTTATAACGGATCGCCAATCAGTACAAATCGTATCTCTACATATTCTTTTCTTTTTCACATTTTTTCACATTATTTCACATAATTTTTATTCAGTACGAAAGTATTACTTTTTATTCTCAATCAGTCAATCAATAATATAAAAATAGCATCACAATCTTATTATCCAAATTATCGCTAGTTTCTGTCTTAACTCTTTGTGAATTCCGCGTGTATTATTTAAATAAAGTATCATGAAAAATAAATATTACGATTTCACCGCTATCTTCAAAACAATGCCTATGTCGTATCACGAGAGGAAATGATTGAGAAAATAAATGAGAATGAAAGAGATAAAGAAAGAAAAAGAGAAAGAGAGAAGAAAAAAGAAAGGAAAAAAAAATGTATCCATCCAATGCATTTGAACTTAGCTTGCGCCTGTAATCGTAATTTTCTTTCATCCTCCTTAATAATACTTTCCACCCGTATTCCGAGAACGTGTTAACCAGATCGGCTACGATCAACGGTAAGAAAAGAAAGTGTGCCCGCGCTCGCGAACAAGAGATATACACGCGATCCCTTCTCGTGACCTCGCATATTCGCCTGGGTAAGAAGAAAATTGGCGTCTTGGATCGCAAGATTCGCTCGTTCCCTTCGAGAAAGAGTTGCTCCATGAAATTCACAAGGAAACGAGGGAGTCAGTCGATACGAAAGAAAAGAACGAAAGGTAGTAGAGAGATGAGAATGAGAGGAGAAAAGGATAAGAGAGAAAAAATAATAATAATAATAATAAAAAAATAAGGGAGAGGGGGGAAAGGAGCAAATAACCGATCCATTTCGCGGTATTTCTTTATCTTCTTTTATTCTTCCTCGACAAGAAGAATCCGCGACTCTACGACCGTAGTAAAGTGGCCATGGCAAACTTAAGGACCATGACCAATGCGATTTGGTCGAGCATATTTTTCTTCACCATCGATATAACATCTTTGTATATTATTTCCTTCTTTCTTTTTGTATATATTTTCTCTCTCTCTCTCTCTCTCTCTTTCTCTCTATATCTTTTTTTCTTTACTTTTAAATTCGACCACGTTCATTCTAGTACGCAACTAATTAGACTCAATGAATGCAACTTAAAACGACACGATCTTTTGACCTTTTTTCCATTAAACGAGAGGAAACGTTCGTTGATTATCAACTCTACGCCATTCTTCTAAATCTCTCTCTCGTATTCTGTACTTCTGTAATAAAAAAAAAAAAGATTCGTCATCTAGATTTTTTGGATTAAATCGTCGTAATCGTTGAAATGAATTTATTTGTTGTCGTCTCTTGGGGTAATAACGTAAATCTAAGAATATCGCTTACACGTCGTCGACTTACGAGAAAAATAATATGAGTCGGGGGGTGGGGGAGTGGGGGAAAAAAATAGGGAGCGAGAAAGAAAGAATATGAGGGAGAGAGTAAAAGTTTTTTAAAGCATCGCTATAATTTAGCGAGCAGATGCGCGTCGCTCGACAGCTAATTAGCCCGTTGTTCCGTTGTAGCGAAGGAGAATCGACACGATCTTAGAAGCTCAGCAACCATGCGGGATGCATTCCTCCTTTCAACAGCTACAATTTCATCTCGCGTCACCCGCGTCTCCGTATGGAACAAGCAACGACGATAACTATGACGACAACGACGACGACGATGAGGAGCTCGTAATTTCCGTGGCCCTCGAGGGAGAAAAGTTCGACGAACTTTTGTGTGTGTGTGTGTGCGTGTGTATGTATTCGTTAAATATCAGAAATTAACTAATTTCATTCGAACGCGTTAATTGCAAAATCTAAAAAAAAATATCTCCTTTTAATCACATTTAATAAAATATTTATATATTTTTCGAAAGTAATAGAAAAATTCTATTGCCGATTTTTTTTAATTTATCTATGCTACGGGACAACTTTGTATTTTCGATTTTCAAGATGGTCGTTATCGTTCACGTAAGTGTCCACAAGTGGAAAGAAATAGAAGAAAGTAGATACTTCAGAAAGTTTTAATGAACTATATCCACTCGATACAAGCAATTGCGTAACGATTTAAGGAGAAGAAATGCACCATTATACGTACGATTCTGTCTCCGTCAAAGAACTCGATGTACATAACGAGTTTGCAGGATCGCGGAGCACTTTTCCGCCTAACAAACCGCTCCTCCTCCTCCTCCTCCTCCTCCTCCTCCTTCATCTCCTTCTTCTGTTCAACTTTTTCCTTCCCTTTCTCCATCTTCTCGTTTTTCTTTCCTTCTTCTTGTTGTCGTCATCGTCGTTGTCGTCAAGCGAAAATTTCCAAGAACCTTAAACCTCTCTCTTTATTTCTCTTTCTCTCTTCGTGAAAAAAAAATACTCGAGTCGCGCGTAGAAACTCACAGAAGCATCCTCAAGCGATTCGAGGGATACAGGACGCAGGAGCGTATCTTGTAGAAGGAGTGCTATGAACGCGAAGGGCGCTGGAAAACCAAAGTCGTAAGGGATAAGGACCCTTTGAGCATGGAAAAGGGAGTTACCTAGACTACGCCAAAAGGAACTCTGATATGAAACGTAGGTATATACCTACATATAAATATATTCCCTATAACGAGTACGATAGACAAGAAGAAGAAGAAGAAGAAGAGAGACAGAGAGAGAGAGAGAGAGAGAGAGAGAGAGAGAAAGTGAGAGAGAATTAGAAAAGGAGATGAAGGAAAGCCGTTACGTCGTCTCCCCGAATCGACGAGGATTTGATCTCCGTTCATTGTACTATCGAAATCGATGGGATCCAATTAACCTCCCTATAAGAGGGCCATAGCTCCTATTGTCCCTCGGTACATACGATTTCCCTCCCGCTCTCTTATTCTACCTACGACCGATCCGAGGCTTAGAGACCACCGGTGTCGGTATACCGTCAACAGTATTACCGAACAACCCTCCTATAATTCTCTTCTCCGTTTCTCTCCATCTCGTCGACTTTCACAAAGCTTCAACATATATATATATATATATATATCTATCTATACGCTTTCTTATTTCCTGTTTGATTTCTTCATCCATCGGTCTATACGATTCTGTGGTGGTACTGGCGACACACAAAACGCCATTATCGGGATTTCCCCTAATTGATCTTTCTTGGGTGAGAACGCCTGTTAACGGTTGAAGCCCTATAACAAAAAAGTCTTCGCGATAGCTAGGGACTACGTGAATATGTGTGTGTGTGTCTGTATATATATATATAAATGTAACAACGTATGAGAATATACGAAGATCTCAGTATTCTGTTGCAAAAGGAAAACGAATCATTCGACTACGTCGATCAAAGGAACGAATAAAGACACAGGTTGACAGTAGTAGAATACGGTACTTTGGTGAGTTGCCATTGAAAGAGCTTTTTAAAATCCCTTGACGTCTTCTCTTTGCCATTTCTTCGTCCTGAGATGTCCATGAAAATGTATCGTCCTACGCCAAGAATCCTCTATATTCCTCTCGATATTCCTTTCTTATTAGATATATCATTCCTCTTATATAATTAAACGATCAATTTACTAAAGATTAATTTTGTATTAGAAATTCTTAACTAGGAAGAAATTAATTGGCTTTATACTTATAGAAAAAAAGTACAGTCATATTTAGACGTTGTAGAAAGAACTAGACGTGTTGTTAAATTGCTAGGCGTATTATAGATAGTCGGGTCGAAGAAATATTACGATTTCATAGGAGCACCCATAGAAAAAGATAGAATGAAATAAAAGAAAAGAAAAGAAAGAGAGAAAGAGAAAGAGTGAAAGATAGGGAGGCGCGGCAGTTCAACTTTGAACTCGGTGCACTTCGTGACGCATCGACGTAAATTCAAGACACGTCGCTCGAGGCGGAAGTGACCAGGATGTTCAGGGATAGCCAAGGAAGAGTAAGATAAAAAAAAAAGAGAGAGAGAGAGAAAGAGAAAAAAAAAGGGATAGAGAAAGAGGCGGAGGCTCGCGTGCGTATCCTCGTGGTAGCGTATCCAACGGCAAAGTTCGCACCACGGCGTGAGTCGAAGGTGGAAAGAAAAAGCTCGTTGATGTATTGCACGGGCAGGCGAGGGCATTCCCATAACGTCTCTCTTCATTAATTCGAGTCGTCCGACTCTCGAAGTTCTATCCTTCCAGTGCTCGCTCTTACACTAAGTCGTTGCAAATGACTCTGACCGGTAATTTCATTTCTTCTTTCGCGCGAAGAAAGCATTCTGCCTTGTTTTCTGTTTTCTCTCTCTCTCTCTCTCTCTCTCTCTCTCTCTCTCTCTCTCTCTCTCTCTCTCTCTTTCTATCTATCTTTTTATTTCTTTCTTTCTTTCTCATCTTCTTTCACTCACTTATAAACGGTCGCGAGATATACCGAACACGTCGAGTTTGATGAAGACACACAACATTGTACTCACTGTCGGCTATATTAAAGCCTCATAAGCCACCGCTTATGTTTTGATGCATCACAACACATCCTCCTTTTCTTCTTTCCTCACCTCCCGAAAAAGGCTCTTCTCCCCCGTTACGAATCTTCTCTTAAGGGTCGTACGATGATATGAGTGGATTCGTTATTCCTATAATATGGAGGGACTCGGGAAATCGAATGATGTTATAGAATCCCTCTTCCATTATTATCTAATATTGATAAAAATTGAAATATATTCTTATCTTATAAAATCTCTATCTAATTCAAATTCTACAATAAACTACTCTTTGATATTTACAAAATTCACTTGTTCATATATTTAAATACAATGTAAACACGATTATTCGATAACCCTTTTCAAAGTAGTATCAAAACGCCCATGGTTTTAAGCATACTAACGAGTCTTTATATTAGCACTAATCGATATTCACAATACCTGCTTAAATCTTGCACGAATCGATTCGAGTCTTTTGCAAGATAATACGAGTCTTCTTCCATTCTTTCTCATCTACTAAATTCGGCATCGTATCTTTTTTTTCGTATTAAGATCGCTATTATCGATACATTATTCATAGAAAGCAGTCGAGTATCCTGTATAGGCACTACTAGTCTCTCGCAAAAATCGATCTTTACACAATTGCTGCAAATATTTACCGTGTGCCTGTCTGCTTGCCTGCCTGCCTGCCTGTCTGCTTCCTTTGGTGTGTACGCATATTGCGAGGGATTGATTCTTTACGGTCTTAACAGAGCAGCGCCCTTTCGAACTCGGAATCTCTCCGCACGTTTCGAACACGCTTGCGACATACATAACAAACAGGCAAAATCGCTTGCATCCAGGAGTGAAACGTGGGAGTGGAAGATGGATTAAGAGATAAGAAGGCGTATCAGGACCAATCAATTACGTCTAACGGTAGCCGAGGGGTCGCGTGCGCGCGAGCGCCCAACAAAAATGCAACGATGGTGAATCATTCTTCTCGGTAGAAAATCTCCGAAGTACCCGGGAAGCTTTCACGAGATAGAAAAGAGCCCCTAAAAGTGAAACGATTTCTGAAATATCGTTCCGCGTAACGGGTCGACGATAAGGCCGATCGTGATTCTTGTCTTTTCTCGTTGAACGAGGCCATAAAGTTCTCTAATCGCCTCCTATCGACCACGAGAGAAATGCCGACGATAAAACATCCCTTTCTCCCTTCCTTCCCCCTTTTCCGATCCCTTTTCGTGTTCGCACGACGAAATCGGTATTAATACTAGTAATGTCGTTTCCACCGAGATCTTTACTTTTTTTTTATTCCAAACAATAAAGAAACGTTTTATTACGATATTATGATGAATTCAATGATCGATTTACGTAATATACATCTTATAGCCATATTTCGCTTGGTATAACAGCAATATCTGACTAATTATCGTGAGACGTTCGCAAGCTGTTCGATGAAGCCTGCGGCTACAAAGAGAAAGAAAGAGAGAGAGAGAGAAAGAGAGAGAGAGAGAGAGAGAGAGAGAGAGAGAGAGAGAGAGAGAAGAGGGAAGAGGGAAGGATCGAAACTATGAGGGGTGCAACTCATCTTAGGTCGAGAGGATCTGTTGCATTAACGAGAAACAATTTACCTAAAACGCCCAGCTCTGCCAAGACGTGTGCCAGCCCCACCCTACTATAAATGCGAACATAAACGTATCACCCCGTCGCCCAGAACGATCAGGGGTAGGAAGACAGTGCTTATATTCTAGGGTACATTTTCCATTGTGTCTCGATGGGGCGACCTGAGAAGGATACAGAAAAAGATAGGTAGAGAGAACCAGAGAGAAAGAGAAATGATCCCTGAAACGGAATGCTTGTAATTCTCATCTTATCCTGAAAATGGACGAGCAGACGTGCCACGGGAATTCACCGCAAGAAAATACACCCCTTGCAATCAAATACAAGTGATCAAATGTTTTTCATTCCCCTTTTTCTTATTTCTTTCCATTTTTCTTTAACCCTCCTTTAACAATAGGTCTATATTCTTTTTCATTCGTCGAAGATGGAAACCGCGGAAATGAAAACTGGCACAATTATCGAACGAACGTATCAAAATGTGTATGAGAGAAAAAATAATTCTTTATTTTTACAAAAGACAAATGTGGACGAATACGAGAGCAGGAGAAATATTAACTGCACTATGCGCGTTTAAAAATATCGTAATTTTCGGGGCGCAACGAGTCGCTCACTTTTCAACTAATAATATATAGGTGTTTATAAACATTTATCCATAACAAATGGTTGATAAAGATGTTACAGGGTCCATAAACATATCCTACAGGTTAAATGTCCAAAAAAAAAACTATTTTTTCGGAGATTATGCACGTTTTCCAGATTTGGAGCCATTGCGCATCGTATCGAAATTATTAACCCGTCTTTTTGCCAAGCTTGAGTACCTGAGACGCGTTATAAATTGTTACCGCGCTACGCGA